CCAATGACAGGATTAGTAAAGTAAGTTACAGTACACTTGCACCTTAGGATATTATGCAGCCGACAAAAAGTAAGCTTACAAGGAAGAATTTTTAGGATATAATGATAGTGCTAAAACATGAGACAAAATTAAATGTTCGGTAGTCACAATTCTACAGCTAATAAAAACTAAATGAAACATCAATAACAAAAATCTATGCCAAGAGAAAAAGGTTGGGAAATCTCGCCATTAGAGGGTTCACATGACTGACAGAGCCGGGGTGTGGGCAGAGTGGCCTATGCAGCTCTTAAGCACGTCCCATGTGACCCTCTCTCTCCCTGGCATGGGGCAGAGGCACAGTAACCTTAGAGGCCACCTGGCTAAGGACGACTGTCTGTAGTTGGTGACACCACCACTGGAAGGTTTTTTCCTTTTTTTTTTCTCTAAGGCACTTTGTGAATTTTTCAGAAAGGGCAATCATTACTTTATAATGAAAACAGTAGATAAAACCTTTTCGTACCATTGGCTAAATTGTTTGTGGGCCCTTTTTTCTCAGCCATGCGTTGGTTGTTCAACAAGCATCTACTGGGAATCTTGGCACCCTCCCTGGGCCCTGTGCTGGACGGGAGGAACCTTCAAAGGAGGACCCATAATAGACAAAGAGAACATGCGACAGGCCATCAGAAGTGTGGGGAGTGTGGGCGACTCCGGGTGGGCTGCACTCTGGGAATGGGGCCCAAGATTCAGGGCTCAGTCTCCCGATGTGTTGTTTTATTTCAGAGCTGTTTTGATTTTTTCGTAGCAGCTTAATATGTTCCCTGCAGCCACTCCCTGTCTTTGAATGCTTCGTTTGAAAAGCACATTAGAATGTGCAGGCGTTTAAATTGGTTCATTATGGCTCTAATTTCCTGTCTAGCGTGTGACTTGACTGGCTTCCAAACGCCCAGCTTTTATTTTTATAAAGCAAGGAGTGGGAGGCAGAGAAATGAGTCTCTCCCGGAGTTTCAGATGACAGGACAGTGGGGGATTGTGGCTCTCGTCGCCAGAAGGTAGTGAGGTTTTGGACAACCCTTCTCTTTAGAAATGCCCCTGGCCTGTGGGGCATGGTGGTTTGACACCTGGAGGGACATCAGATGGAACACAAGGGGACCAGCAGGCATATATGGGGCTCTCCTCAAACCCACCTATGCATGGGCTGGGCGTGACTGCAGGCCGAGTTCAGGAGACCTGGGCCTGGTGGCCTATTCTGTCAAACCATTTCATTTCAACTCACTGAATACGCTGCAACCACAACAGCAAATAAGCAGATACCATCCCTGCTCTCAAGAAGCTCTCGGGACAATGGAGAAGCTGCACACTGAACATGCATGTGGCTGCTGGAGGATGAGCCCCCACCAGGGTGAGCCAACTCTTAACCTTTCCTGCGAACCCTTTCTCAGAATCCAGGCTTTAAATGCCAAGAATAAAATACACAGAACAACTCTGAAAACCTAGTTACCAGATACTAAAAGTCAAATTCATGAGATACACATACACACATGCAGACATGCACACATACTTCTTTATTAACACATTAAATCATGAGATCTAACAATGGATCAAGTAACAACCGTGATTTTGAAAGTGATGAGCATAAACATTTGAAGATACCTGTAGCCACTACACCAGCAACCTAGAAATACACGTGACCAAGTCCCAGGCAATGCAAATAACAGAGGGGCACTGCTTTGTTTTTGCCTCACGTGTACTTGAAGGACATGCTGTCAGAGGTGAGTGGTAAAAAGGACATAGTTTCCTGTCCAAGTTCATGGCCCCCTGAATTTTATCCATAGCACCCTGTCAGTCCGCAGACTCACGTTAAGAGTCCTGATGTAAGTCTTTAAACAGCCAGTGGAAAGGAGAGCCTGTTCCTTTAAGCAAGTGTAAAAGTTTGAAAGATGAAAAAGCAAACAAACAGCTCAACAAAAGGTCATACACAGTTGGATAAAAGACCAGGAAGGCACTCTTCCCACGCATGCCTCCCTGAAATCTCACCAGGGAACCTCATGGACTGGTCCCTTTGTGGCCAGGGGTGGAGGCGAGGCCTCAGGGGGACAGACCGATGTGACCAGGTGAGTAGGGCAGTGCCAGACACTCCCTCAGAGGCAGGGCAGCCGGCACATCCTCTATGAATGGTGGAGCTGTGTCCTCAGAGAACCCACATGATCTTCTGGCCCTCTTCCCATCCCTTTAGGCAGCAGCCAGGCGGGGCTTTCTAAAAGACAAATCCAGCCGGACAGTGCCCTACTTAAGAGATCGGTTGCAGCACGGTCTTCCAACTGGCCCCCCAGCCCCCAGAACCCCTCCTCACAGCCCACCCCACCGCAGATGTGCATTTCTCAGCGAGCAGCCTCCTCTCTGACAAAGCCAAGCTCATGATCTCTTTGGGGAGCGTGTCCCTCCCCAGAGCATCATCATCTGATGTGGAACCCAGGGCAGCTGTGCCAACCCCATACTTTTCTGGGTGGGCTCACTATCCCTGCACCCCACGGTTCACGAGCCAAGGTGTCAGCCCTTCACTGAAGAGATGAATGAGCAGCCGAAATGACAGGCAGTACTGGGTGGGAAGGGAGCAGGGGCTTGCTAAATGCCCAGGCAGGGGAATTAGGAGAAAGCCCTGGACTTGGAGTCTGGACATTTACCCTGAGCAAGTACCTTTGCCACTCTGGGCCTCAGTTTCCCCATCTGTACACTGTAGGTGTTGAACAGAGAGTTTCTGAGGGAACTCCATGGTTGTGGGTTGAGAGGGTCCATGTTACTGAGACCCCTCCAAGCCAGGTCAAACCTGGCCCTGAGCTGAGCCTGGGGACCAGCTTCTGCTCCCAGACTGTAGCCTGGTCTGGGCCCTTTCTCTGCCCGTGGAACCCCTCCTCAGCCAGCTTCGAGCACACCTGCAGCATGACCGTCCCCTCTAAGGAAGGCCAAGGAGAGCCACCTCCCACAGCCATAACTAAACACGGCCAGTGGTCACTTTCTGAACCACTTCCAAGGGAGAATGGCCCAGGGGACATTATACATTGGCAGGGGTCACATTTTTTTTTTATAAAGGGCAAGGTGGTAAATATTTTTAAGTTTGTGGGCCACATACAGTCTCTGTTGCATATTCTTCCTTGATTTTACAACTCTTTAAAAATGTAAGAACCACTTTTAGATCACTGGC